CTCTAGATAATCGGTAGGAGATAGTAAATAGAGAGTAAATAACAGTATGCACATTACTCACAGTGGGGTTTGAGCAGAGAGTTTGCTCGGAATGAAGCGTAGGCGCCTCGTCGTTGAAGTCATCGGGTGTCCTAGAGCCGACGGAGGGCGCCCCTCCGACCAGCACCGGGATGGTTACCTCCTCACGGAGGTGTAGTACGCCGAGCCAGTCGGCGACGAAGTCTAGGCTTCCAAAGAGGAAGGCCGGGACGGCTCGAAGACGGGTGGAATCTGCATCCCAACAGGTGAGAATGCGGGAAACTCTAATGAGCCAAAGTGAGTCATATCGCTTGAGCCCGCCATGGCGAAGGTGGTGGAAAAGTAGGTCATCCGATGACCAAAAAGTGTGAATGTACAGCGTCTTCACCACGGATGGCGCCAACTGTCGGTGCAGAAAGTGACCAACATGTAAATATTTGTAGTTTTGCCATACGTTGTTATCAGAGGTGGCCTAGCACTCAATAACATAGGGTTTATACTGGTTCAGGCAACGTGCCCTACGTCTAGTTTGAGTCGGTCGATGACTTTATTCCTGAGCCCAGGTGCTTGAAGTTTGCAGTGGGGTTACAAATGAGAAGGAGAAAGATGGGAGGTACAAGAGGTCTGGTCGGACTCTGGTCCGAAGGGCCGAGAGTGACGGGAGCTCCGCTATGTGCTAAGTGTCCGAGCGTGTGCTCGAGGTTTGAACCTGGTGGCTCTGTTGTTGTGTACTAGTGAACTGATCGATCCTTTTGTTGGAAGAGAGCGTATCTCCTTTTATAGATGAAGGGGATAGCCTTACAAGTGAGAGGGAGAGAGTACGTATGCTGCTAAGTCTTGCTGCCTACGCCGGTGGGTACAAGATGATGGTAGGCGCCCACAATACTGTTTAATGTCAGATGCACGTGGGAGGTTGCGTCGTCTTCTTTCTAGTATGATAGATATCGATGTCTGCCACACTGTTGATACCTAGAGGCATGCAAGGTGTTTTACCATGTTCACCTGGTACGGTAAATGCCAGCGCCCACAACACTGTTGATGCCTCAGAGGCATGTGGGGGAGCCTTACTGTGTTTGTCTGGTATGGGAGTTGATGGCGCCCACAACACTATAGGGAAAATATCGACGCCTACAACACTGCTTGGGTTCTATTATGCCAGGGAGGTCACAGGGTACTGTCCTGTAGGTGTATAGGGTACATTCCTCGGTATTGTGGTTGACTTGAGTGCCCTACCTTGCTTTCTCCATCTGTTTCCTGGTCCTTACCAAGCGGGCGTCCCCGGTCGGTTGGTCCTAGTCGGCTCTGATTGCGCCTGTTGGAGAAGAGCAATGAGCAGAGGTTTTGGGCATCCCCGGTCGGAGACGCGGGCCAGAGTCCGAGGCGAGGCCTTTCGGTCGGAGAGGCGGGCCAGAGTCAGAAGCGGGCGCTGTTCCTTCTCGGCCAGGCCTTCCGGTCGAAGACTGGATTGCCCTTCTGTGTTGTTTTAGGTATTTGGGTCGGCCCATGAGTTGCGCGTTGTTTGCAACGTTGTCTGCTGGACCGAGCCTTTGTTGGGAAGCCAGTCTATGAGGGACCCCGGATTTATGAACCCGACAGTTATGTTCCAAATCAAGCCTTGTTATCTTCCATATGCCTTTTTCTTCTTTGACCACCATGACGCAAGGACAATTTGATTTCATCTGCACATTTGTTTTCCTTTTTGTTCTTGGTTGCTTTTCCTATATCCTTGTCTATTTTTTATTCTTCTTCCTCTAAAAACTTTGTTACTTGTTCTTTTCCTTGACGATTACATTTCATTATCGCTTTGAATATCTCATTATTTCTTTTCTTACTTGTAGTTGTTCTTGCTACATGTGTTATGACAACTTCAAATCCGGCTAGGAATGCATCGAAATTGAAGTAGCGGTGAGCATCATGTCTATCCTTAAATTCCATTGATAGTTATGGGGTGTGTGGGGTTATATCCCTTTCGCTCGTACCTTCACCAACCAGGACGAAGGTACCTTCACCGGGGTGAGGAGGAAGCTCAGGAACTAGGCAACACATAGGAAAGAGAGTAAATGCCCAAAGATTATGGCCAGAATAATGAGGAGAGAGAGCCCCTTCCCCCTTGCCCTTGGGTTCTATTTATAAGGGAGGTGGGAGGAAGCATCTTCCTCCATACCCCTTATGGTTCACGAATTTACATGAAGATCCTCAGATCTACTAGGCGCTGGCCTTTTTACATGAGGGGGGAAGGCGCAGCCACCCCTACCCCCAAAAGGGTGCACTTGCTATTGATAGCTGCATTGTTGATTTCTAATGTTGTCACCTGCTTATTTTTAATGAATTCTTTAATTTCTTCTTCTATAAGTTCCTAACTGCCATTTATATGTTCATTATCATCTGTTCTGGTTGATGTAATATTTGTACTTGTCCGTTGTCTTGCTATAGCCCTCAAGTCATTTTCTCCATTTGTTGGGTGATCATCTCGATATGCATGATGTACCTATAAATATATTAGCAAAAGACTTAGTTACCGAGCATGACATTTGTAATATAAATATATTTTTCCCTATGGACTGAAATAGTTGAAGAGATCATTATTTATGCACCTCATCAATGTCTGTGTTATGGAATACATCAGTTTGCCAATGATATTGTTCAATTTCACATCTATCATCATTAGCCATGATTGCCATTCCTTTATTCTGTTTTTGCAAAGATAAATTTACTTTGATGGTAGTATATATTTGTATTGCTTATAATTATAATCAAATTCCTTAGTTGTTTGTACCTACCTCATATGACATTGTTGACTCTTATATTGACATAAATTTGTACTCCAAAGATTGCATCTAGATTTTTAAGGCTCATATTCTATGTTATGTTTTTTTATGAGAATGGCTATTATTTACAATTATAACACAACTAGTTTGACAAGCATACGTAATTTTACCTCATTCATGTCATTTTCAAGTATCATCTGTATCAATGTTCCTTGCATGCCTTGATGTAGCTGCAAAGTTTATAACGAAGCATTGAAAAATACACTCCTATTATGCTGAATTTACATTTGTGTGCATTGTAATTTTTGTTTATTTGCAATATAAATTGTACCTCTATATTGTTGTCAATCTGATTATCTTCCTGTGAGTTCCTGATTTGTTCCAACATAAGTTTAGTGTAGCCTCCCAGCATTGACATATATTTTAGTTCAAGAATAACCTTTTTATCTTGGCATTTGTGTAACCGAGCATTGATTTGCTCACCTTTTTGTATTTTTAGGTATTTGAAAGGTCGACATCAGATCCAATAAGTGTTTCTGCAACATAATTGGTGTTCCTACTATGCTCATCTCTGTCATTGTAATTAAGGTCTGGTAGATTTATCAATACAAAATTTGCAAATGCATTCTTTCCACCCTGCATCAATTTGAACATATATACTTCTTCTGTTGTGAGATTCACATATGTCTAGTTCTATTGTGTAAATGATTACTTGATGCAATATTTAATTTAGTACTTGGTTAGTCTAATACATCAATTCTAGTGTTTCTTGCCACTTTTTTAACCCATCTTCCGTTGTGAGATCAATGTTTGGATCTAAATTTTGATTTGCATGTGTATAACTATATGGTCCCTGTAATAGATGACATACATTTAGTAATGTTAAATTAGAAGGATTGACTTGTATTCTAGTAACTCTATGGTAAATAGATATTTCCTAAACCAAAACTTAGTTATGGACATTTACATTACCTGCAAGTTATGCTCATGCATAGTTTCAATTTTCTGTACTACTTCCTACTCTAGTCTCAATTTTTTCCCTATTGTTTACCTGCATTTACAATTAAATGATATGTCATTAGGATGAAGTTGTAGCATCATAAAGATTTAGTATCCAGTTTTACTATCCTGATTGAATCTATACTCTTATTATGTTGAAATCTTGGTTCTGGTATTTTTCAATACATAATACAAGAATATGTGTCTATATTAATTTGGTTCTGACTGAAATCTTTATTGTATTTTGATCTGATTCAATCTATCCATAGCTCTCAAGGCTAGAGATTCGGTGGATCTATGTTCTCCTAGTTTTTCATCCGAGCTGCTTCTTTGTTCTATGTTCATTCTTCAGAGATATCAGTCTACCAGCTTAACTGGCTGTTGAGGTACGAATAAGACTTGTACTCTTTGTATATTATCTAGTGTTAGTTCTTCAATTTTTCTTTTGTTGTTCTTATTTGACGTTGCGGTGGGATCTGCTTTCTACAGCTTTCCCCTACTCTGTGTTAAGCAGAGCGGATCTGTTTTCTACAGCTTGCTTCTTCCCCCAAGCCTTTAATCTCTAGTATTCCTATGGATTCCTCTCTAATATTCCTATGGATTCCTGATGCTGGGCTTTTATTATGGGTTGTTGATTGTTTCAATGGACCATTTCTCATCTTAGTTATTGAGCTCTACTATTTTACTCTTCACTGGCACAGAAATCACATCTACCTATCCGATGTAATTTTAGCATCATCATCAACTGTGGTGTAATTCTTGGATTTTATTTTATTTTATTTCGTGAAAGATGTTTCATTGGAAAAGGTTATACTTGCATCAGATTTATTTCCAGTAATTTATGTCTGTTATTTTGTGGGCAGCCGTTTGATTTGAATTTAATGGCGCTAGAATTCGTGTGCTACAGTTTTTTGGGACAACCGAAGTTTGTTGCTTATGGAAATCGAGTGTTCTACGTGGATCTAACAACCAAGTGCTAGTTGCTTGTGAAACACACGAATATAGTATAGACACATTTGAAAAGAAGTTTTTTTTTTTTGGTATTTGATCAGGTTTGTGCTAGTTTCCTGTAATATAGTACACGAAAATATTTGTTTCCCCAACGCTTGTGCTAGTTTTTTGTTCTTTGATCATGTTATTATTGATTGAAAGTACTAAGTTTGACACGTTGATAAGCAGGCAGACATACGGTGCCCATTTTCTCATCGATCGTCACTAGTTGCTCGCCACAAGCGGAGGGATGCTCTGCTCGTTCCTGAAGTAGTCGTCAGGAATCTGGGCCTTTGCCATGGCGAGCCTCCGGAAGTTACCCTCGAAGTACTTCTCGCCCCACACCTTGCCGGCCTCGTAGCTGCTGACGTTGCCCACGACGACGTTCTGCCCCAGGTCAAGGTCCCTGTAGTTGAAGTAGGCCTCCCTGGGGTTCTTGCTCACGTGCGGCTCCATGAACGCGTACATGTCCCTGATCCACTTGGTCCCCGCCGCCGCGTCGCCGCGCGCCGCCGACCAGAAGTTCATGTACTGGGTGTTGAACAGCACGCCGCCGCGGTGCGGGAACGGCGTGTCGGACTCGGGCACGCTGCCGATCCTGCCGCCGTAGGGGTCCAGGATCATGAGCCCCGCGTTGGCCTTCGCCAGCCACGCGAATATCTCCGCCCAGGCGGCCCTGGTAAGGGGCTGTCGGACGTAGTCGGAGGTGGCCTTGCTGGCGGCCGTCTGCCACCTGGTGAGCACGCCCACGGCGCCGCGGTCGACGGAGACCGGGACCTTGAACGCCGTGACGACAGGCGGGACGGGGACGAGCCTGACCTGCCACGACAGCACGACGCCGAAGCTGGCGCCCCCGCCTCCGCGGATCGCCCAGAAGACGTCGGCGCCCATGGCGTCCCTGTCCAGCTGCCGGCCCCGGGCGTCCACGAGCAGCGCGTCGACGACGTGGTCGGCCGCCACGCCGTACTTGCGCAGGAGCATGCCGAAGCCGCCGCCGCTGAGGTGGCCCCCGACGCCGATGGTCGGGCACAGGCCGGCCGGGAACGCCAGCCGGTCGCCTCTGGCCCTGCCCACCGCGTAGTAGAGCTCGCCGACCGTGGCGCCGGAGTCGACCCACGCGGTGGCGGTCTCCACGTCGACGCGGACGGCGCGGAGGCCCGCGAGGTCGAGCACCGCGAAGGCCGCGTCCTCGTCCTCGTCGGCGCGCGCGGCCGAGCGGTACGAGAGGCCCTCCAGGTCGTGCCCGCCGCTGCGCACGCGGAGGCGCACCCCGTGGCGGCGGCCGCACAGCACGGCGGCCTGGACGTGGGAGGCGGTCGCGGGCGTGGCCACGCAGAGCGGCCGCGCCGTGCCGGGGACCATGAACTTGGGGTTCCGGATGGACGACGCCAGCACGGACGCGAACGAGGGCGAGCTCCGCGGGAACACGAGCTGGCTCGGCATGCCGTGGAGAGGCACCGGACGAAGTCGTCCGCTGAGGAAGCCGACGACGACGACGACGCTCTGGCGGGGAGATAGCCGTCTTGTTCGTCGTCATCCTTGGCGCCGTGCGACACACTCGCACTCCTAAGTGACCACGTGTGCTGTATACTGTACTAGTAGCTTGCATTGTGCTGTCGCACAGGCACAGCACATATATACACCGCCTCGCCGACGATGGAGTTGGTGTCTTGGTGTATAAAATGACCGTCGCCGTCGGGAATACGCACGCCGGCACGCGGGCGCAAAAGCTGCGTCAGGCGCCATTCCGATGGATGGAGGTGGATGTCGAGCACGCCAAACTGCCAGTGCCAAAGCATATCCAAAGACCCAATCGTGTTTAGTATATACTCATACTCACCACACGAAGGATTTATATCGTCGGTGCCATCCTTTTTTGTGCTCATCTTCTTCCTTCTTTCCACACAATCGTGTAGTACAACTTTACTGATTAAAGGCTTTTACTTAGTAGTAGCTTGTTTGGCTAACTGCGAGAACTCTTATCAATAGTAGTTGGAAGGTAAAGCCTATGGATAGGAAATTGCGATGTACATTCCGCTGTGATGAAATATTTGATATAGCTGATAGCTTGTATAATGAAACTTCCCAATTTATATATGTAGAGATTGCATAGATATTACACTTGGAAGAGAATTATTCCCCTAATAATGTCAATCTTAGTTGTGTCATGTCCAGCAATGGCAGTGGCCGGTGGCATTTCCAGAGCAAGCCAAAACCGTTTCCATTCATCACCCCAGGAGAAGACTCTAACCGTCGGCCAAATAATCTAGAAGAATTCGCGATCTATTCTCATGGAGCGGTGCCTAATCCTGCTGCGGTAACGCTGGGAGTCAGACGCCTGTTTGCGCGGGGCGTCTCTGTTGGTGGACCCGACGTCCAGAAGCTGCCGTTCCTATCCGGTCCCCTCCGGTCACCGCAGATTAAAAAAAATTCACGCATCTACTCCGCGGCCGGCTCCGGCGTGGCTCCCGCGCGCCTACATCTCTACCACGCCTCCCTTCCTCTCCATCGCCACTGCGCCCGTACCGCCACGGGGCCGCACCGCCCGACTGCTGATGCGCCTCCACCGCGGGCACCATGTGCTCCCTATTGCCGGGGTCCGCACAGCCGCCCATCCGTTGCCATCCTCCTTCACTCCGCCCCCCTGACTGCCATATTTTGCTGAAAGTGCATGTTTCGAGTGTTTTACATGTTTTAAAGGTATGTTGCAGGTGTTTCATATGCATGTTGCAAAAGTATATCGTAATGTTGTATATGTTGCAATGGTTGTACACGTATGTTGCAAAGGTCTGTTACCAATGTTTCATCTGTGTGTTTCGGTATGCATGTTGCAAGTGTGTTTATCTGGGTGTTGCATACGTTTCACATATATGTTGCATGTGTTTTATCTGGATATTGCAATGTATGTTCCGTATGGTTGCAATGTTTTTCAAGTGTTTTCAGGTGTGTGTTTTCAAGTGTTTCAGAAGGATGTTTCAAGTGTTTTATCTGTCTTCAAACGTATGTTACAACTGTTGTATTTTGATGTTTCAAAAGTAGATCGGGTGTTGCATGTCTCCTCCTTGCCTCCTGCTGCATTGTCTCTCCTTGCTTTCTGCTGCATTGTCTCGGTGTGTACTCCTCCCGGCGCCGGCAAGGCATCCATACGACGCCGCGGGCGGGTCCTTTCGAATCGGAGGCGACACCCCATTCCCCACTTGTCGCTCGGGCGGCACGAGCTCCACGTGGAGCGCGCAAAACGGAGTGCAGTGCACAGGCGCTAGTAGTGCCATTCCTGCTGTTGTCAATTGATGAATCGAACGGTAGCTCTTCAACTCTAACACATCCGGCGCTTGTTCTCACCCCCCTTTTACATTTTTGCCATGAAGACTGAATTATTTAATTTGCACTTTACAATCGGTTAATCATGGTACCGCAAGTGATAAAGTTGGGTAATTATTGGTACTTCAGTTTCCACATTTGCCGTACACTGCTTTTTGCTTCCCCTTTGCCTTCAATCATGAACATGGAACCAGAAAACATCATGAAAAACGTACTCAGGAAGTGCATCAAACCCATTCAGCTCTATATTAATTACCCTGAAGACAACACATAACTTTAGCTTGTTATCGAACTTCACAGCAAGACCATCCGTTGAAAGAATGGAGCAAAAAAAGTTCACGGCCTACTAAACTTGTTGCAAATATAACAGAACTTCGAAGCTGCAAATACCTATACGCCAGTGTACCAAGTTTTGAGAGCACAGCCATAAAATCAATCTCTGGCCAGGTAAGGTCTGCTGCTGCCCGCTACGGGAGAAACTATATACCCAAGATCGCGAACCATGGCAACAATCATGCTTTAACTAGAGTGCTAGCCCACGAACCATGGCAAGGCAGGTCATCAAACACAGGCCACATGGATACAACCTAATGCAACCAACAACCATAGTTATCTCTCACAATGGTGCCAGTGGTGGCTAACTAGAGTGCAGTAATAACCAACCTAAACTCTGGAATATGGTCATGAAGAGAAGGTGGGAAAATCATTTCAGATAGTGAAAACAGGTAATTGCTGGAGGAAAAGGAAACAGAAATCAACAGCTACACACAGTATTTCCCAGGCTAAAATGCAGTACCACGATACATCTAATGCATGCCCAAACTCTGCTGTCTTCAATGTTCAACCCGCTTGAACCACAAGCAGGTACTGTCAAATCTTCATACTGTACTTGTATCATTTCTCACAGTTCATGTCTTTATGCGCACCACAAACGAACCTGTCATCAAGAACACAATTTAGATAACTGTCATGAGTTCGCATAAGGCAAAATTCATGCAATAGGCATTGAAAATATGAAATGGAGCGGCAACTTTCTGTCAGTATATATAAAGTGAATGAAGAGATGTGCAGTGCACTTCGGAGCTGCATGGAATAGAACAGGATCTCAAAGTGGTTAAAGTAGAAGAAAGTAAGGAACTAAGGACCCAACAAGATTTCCTTTGGAATGGCAGGGAATTCCTGCCACTTGATTCACCAGAGCCAAAATTACATCAAAACAATGTGTTCTTCGGAGCCTTGGAGGCCCCTGTTTTGATGTTTCAGTATAAAGAATGAAATTTTCTTCTAACAAAATACAGATTGTTTCAACATTAAAAACATTTTCACAGCTGAAACTGAATGGAAATAAAGGATCATAACAGAAAAAGGTTTGCATAAACACTAGAAATAATCAAGGAATAGCATGAAAGCAGCACGTATCATACTTCCACAAAACCTAAAGAATGTGCTAAGATGATTACTGAGTAGTACAGATCTATAGTACCCAAAAATAATTGTCCATGCCTCCATGGGTACCAAGAGGAGATGCACTCTTAGGCAATGAGTCAATGATGGTAACAGGCATGAAACAGATCAAATCTGAAGGTCACACAACCATATCATAGGCAACAATTTATCTAGTTGATTACTAGTATAAAAGGTAAATCAATAAGCAATAATTTATCTACTCCCTCCATTCCAAATTATAATACATAGCTTTTGCTATGCACTTCGATATACATTGTCTAGATACATAGTAAAAGTATCTAAAAAGCCAAAACGTCTTATAATTTGGAATGGAGGGAGTAGATTTTAATGTCCGATTCCAATCTTCTAACATTTCACTTTGTACAGCCCTCGCTGCAGATTAAACATTGCAATATTATCTTAAAATCGAACTTTCTACATCATGACAACCTCTGGACAATAAACACCATACTTGGGTACTTGTTTGACTCCAGTGGTTGATATAAGATGTGCAACAGATCATCAAATGATGAAAATTAACCACATGTCAAAAGGTCATAGAAAAAAGCATAGCTCAACTTACATGCTGGAAGGTTTGACATGTCAGCAGAGACAGAACACGAAATTCCTAAGTTGGTCAAGGCACCTCTTATCAACCCGCATGGGAAATACAGAAGCATGGTAGTTGTTTGGGCTGCAGTATCACCCAATGCTGCAGAATCATTTTCAGTTGAATCTGTGTTCTCTGTATATGGATCTAGAGAAACACGAGTAAGCCACCGAAAACGGTTATCTTGAAGGACAAAGGTACCCTGCATGTACAGTAGTCAATAGATGTCAGTGTTTAACAAGAAGGAAAAATAGGTAGGAGGTATTTCTGCATCACCCTATGATTTGTTTTCAGATTGTCAATCTGTTTCTTGAACAGCTCTGACCAAAAGTCTTTGCAGATAAATTTGATTGCTTCAAGATGATCACTAAATCGAGGGCGCTCCATGGTATATCTGAATATGAACAAAATTTTGGTTGAGTCTGCAGAACTACATACATTGGAGCGTTGCACTGACTAAAAATTAATCACACAGAAAACTGAGACAGATTTGCAGAGCATAAAATATTTGGCCCGAGACGTTACAGGCAGAGAGGCCTTGTGCTCTAAAAAAGTAAAGAAGCACAGCACAACAGTAACTATGTAAGCAAATAAAAAAAAAATCATCCACCAAAATAAGATGAAGATCACCTATGAAAAAAGAATAGAACGTATTATGAAAAAAAAAGAAATTCATATATAACATTAGAATAAAGAGCATCTAAAAATCAGATAGATAAATTTCTGAACTTTAAAATCGATGCAATAATTTGTTTGGTACTCTCCTCCGCCCATAAAGAGTTTATTTTTAGCATTCAAAATTTGCCCCACAAAGAGTTTATATGGAGATGTTGCCCTATAAGATAAATAGCCAGCATGCTGTTTGCATGCAGAAAATGGGTAATGATCTGCCTCTAACCAAAAGACATCATGCATGAGAATCACATCTAACAGCATTAATTAGGGCACCTAGGTCATTTCTCCATGCTACTAATATGTCTGGCAATTGCTACAAATAAACTCTTTGTGGAACGGAGAAAATAGTTGGAAAAAAAATCTCGAGCATATCAAAAGCAGTTAACATATT